TTGTGATACAACACGTTGTTATAGCAGACCTAGCAAATTAATATTCCTGCAGACCTGGGCTTCAGTGTTGACTCAGGCCTTTAGTAGCTGTGTGATACTGGACAAGCCCTCACCTGTCTCTAAACCTTGACTTGTTCCCATCATCCCCAGCACACAGCTTGGCTCATAGTAGGTGCTCAATAAATGCTTGTTGGAAGACTGAATGGAATTAACAGCATCCACCTTCCACATGGCTGTGATAAGGATGAGGTGAGATGAAGAATGGCATATGTTCTGACAAAGCCAAAGTACTCGACTCACACGGTGATGGCTGGGTCAACAGACACACAGAGGGCAGGCTGATGTGGCTGCAGCCACAGTCTCAGCATAGAGAGTTGCTCCAGGCAGGCAGAGGTGGGCAGAGGCAAGTCCTCCATCCGTTAAGCCACAGACATAGCCTGGGTTCTCACCACGTGCCAGGCTTCCCCCACACTGGGCCCTGGGAGTGGGAAAGGAGAGCTCCCAGGTGCCAAGTATGGCCCCTGCCCCACATGGAGCCTAGACCTCCATGAAGGCTGCAGGCAGGTAGGTTCAGCTCAGTCAGCACAAGAAAAGACCCTTCTCCACCTCAGAACTGCCTCCAGGGCCTAGGTGTCCATGGGGAAAGGGAGGTCTGTATTCCTGCAGGCGTGCAAGGACAGTTGCACTCTCCAAGCAGGAGCCTGAGCTGAGCCAGATCATCAAAGTGACCATGAAACGTATTAGCCATCCAGATTCCTGGCTTCCCCCCTCCCCCATGACTCTGAATCAGAGAAGGTCTTCGTAGACCCCTGAGGATCCTTCTCTTTAATAAACTCCCTTGGTGGTCCTGATACAGAGCTAGGCTTGGGCACTCTTGGCAGAGAGCTCCATGGGTTGAGCAGGATTCCATGTGGGAAGAGCTTTGACAATAGTGCACGAGGGCAGGGAGCAGGTGTGGACAGGAGACATGAGGGCAATGGTGCATGAGGGCAGAGAATGAGGAGGGTGGAGATGAAGACAAGTTGAGGATCATGACAGTAAAAAGACAGGCAGCTAGCTCACCAGGTGAAAGGTACCAGCGGCCATTCAAAGGGGCCACAGTACATGGGAGAGTTGGGGAAGATGCCCGAGAAGAGGTGGAATTTGGCTGGGGTGAGAAAAGCCTTCTAAGACAGAGGTGATGGAAGGTAAGACTGAGCCTGGTATGTGCAGAGGATGGAGGAGGAGAGTCACCTGTTAGAAAGAAGAGGGGCAGGAAGAGCAGGTTTCCACCAGACCCTGAAATGCCTTCAATGACCAGGAGGAGGAGCTTGGAGTTCAACCTTAGCCACTAACGGGTTTTGAGGGGGAACATGACATGAAGGCAGGCCTGTTGTAGTGACCACCAGCAGGGCTCAGAGGGGCCTGGGCTGTTCCAAACTTATGTCATGAGGCTCCCTTTAGGGAGGGAAGGGTGAAATGACTGGGCCCAGTATCAGCACCCTCTTCCTGCCCAACAGTAGTCCTGAATCAGGTTACAGAATGACAGTACCAACCATTAGGCCATTTGGAAGGAGCAGCTAGGAGAGTGCGCTGGCAGCAGTTTCTCTGGCCTGGCAAATCCAGAGGGCTTGCCTGCAAGACTGGAGTAACAGGCCTGTCCCTGGGCAGGAAGCCCCACTGGGGAGAGTCACACTGAGCAGTAAGGCCAGATCCCTCCTGTACATGACCTGTCCAGGCTCAAAGGCTTTAAAACAGTCCCTTCCAGGTGCTGATGATGCCCTCCCTGACATGCCCAGCCCACCCTGACCCTCACCTGCAGCCTTACACCCCAGGTCTATGCAGCCTCTCCACCTGCCTATGGGCATCTCAAATATAACACCACCTCCAAAGAGGACTCCTCCTTCCCCTCCAAACTCATCCTCAGCCCCTTGTTGCTCAGCTCAAAGGCCCCACCACCTACCTGTTCTCAGACACTGATCTCTCACAGTCAGCCTCTCACTACCCTTCCATCTCCTACAGTCAAGTACTCCTCCCTGCCATGGCCTCTTAACCAACCTGCCAGCTTCTACTCTTGCCCACAGGGCAGTGAGGGAGAGCCCCTGAGCTTGGACCACCTCTACTCACACCCCGTAGCCCTGGTCACAGCCCCTCTTCCCTACAGGCACTCCCAGCTCAAGGTCTGTCCAGTCCTCCAGGGGCCTGTCCCTTCTCCAGTCTCTGCTCAAAGGGCACTTCATCTGAGAGGACTTTTCCTGACCACCCTACGGAGAATGGCTCCCCCTGCATGTTCACTCCCTTCTCCTGCCTTATTTATCTCAACATCACTTATTACTCCCTAACCTTATATTATGAATTACTTTTCTGTTTCTGTTCTATCTACTCTGTTCAAATTGGAGTTTTATAAGGGCTATGACTAGTCCAAATTATTGACCCATGGATGCTGGGCATGTAGAACAGGGCCTGACATGCTGCAGGTGTTCAGCAAGTCTGTGTCGAATGAAGGATAAATGAACCATTGAACTAATGAATGATTTCAGTGAGCATTGGTGCAGCAGCTGGGATACACCACAAGGAAACAAAGGGCAAATCAGGCTAGATCTGCCCCAAGAGCCCTCACAGCCTGTGGAGAGAAAGAAACCAACACCTATGGGCAATTCTATGCAGTGCGCAAGCAGTGCTGGGGTGAACAAAAGTGCACAGGGAAGAGAGTCCTGGGGAGGGGACCTCCAGCTGGGCCCAAAGGTCAGGAAAGCTTCCTGGAGGAGACACCCCACCCCCAGCTTCTCTCCCTGCCTCGCAGGGCCCTGGACCACCTCCAGTCCCAAACAAAGGAGGCCTGACTCACAAGCCTCACTGATTCAGAGCCGGTGTGTGCATCCCTCCTGCAAGGAGTAGGCATGGGCAGGGCTGTCAGGAGAGGGGGGCATGATCCCTCCCCAGTGGTCAAGGGCTATAGCATCTGGGACCCCAGTCTTGCCTGCCCTTCCCCAACCCCACCATCCTGCCCCTACCCTTCCAATCACAAGAGCAGCACTAGAGGAGCAGGCAGGGCAAGGAAGAGCCTGGGCTTCCTCGAGATTCAGTGCTTCAGCATTCCTTCAAGGCTGCCCATGAACAGCCCTGCCTGGTCCTGGGCACGCCACTCCCAAACACTCTGAAGTCCCCACCTCTACAGCTTTGCTAAGGCTGGACCCTCCCCCTCCCCTAACCCTCTGTGCCCATCATAGCCCTACAAACATTGCCTTGTGCACCCAGGCAGTATTTACACTGACACACCACTGGAAACAACCAAAATATACAATGGAGAATTGGTTAAACATGCTACGGCTCACACAGGCTGAAACATTACACTGCCATTAAAAAAATCACATTACAGAATAGTATTTAATGATGGGGAAATGATCTTGCTATTGTATTAAGTGCAAAAGGAAGGTTAGAAAACAGTAAGTACAGTTTGATCCCAATTATGTCATAAATATCTATTTTATAAAAGACTGAGGGACAAAACACCCATGTGTTCACATTTTCTGTGGAGAACATGCATTTCTTTAATAATCAGAATAATAGGACATTTTTAAAGAATCCTACAGCCTTTAAGTCTCAGCCCAGGCGTCCCCTCATCCAAGGCCCCCACTCTCCCAGTTGAGAGTGGCCTCCACTCTGAGTGGGCTCTCCGCTAGCTCTCTGCCTGCTGAGCTTCCACAGTGCTATCCACCTGGGCAGCAGAGGGAGGCTGCCGTGGCCCCTGTTAAGGGTAGGGGAAGGGCCCGGCCACCCTTCCTCCATGACACCCTTGCCCTGGGCCCTCCCATCACCTTGGCCACCTTGAAGACAATCCTGACCTCCTCCTCTCTCCCAATCTCCCAGCGGCAATTACAGGTTAAACTGGAGAGGCTCATTAGCTGCTCACTCTACCCAGGACTGACCGATTAGCAGGAATATTTTGATGGAGATAACTGGACTTCAAGGCAAGGCCTAATACCCAGGAAGGAAACTCAGCTGTCAGCTCCCTGCCACACCTCTGCCAACTTCCTGGTTGAAAGGACAGTGTCAGCTGAGCCTCGGCCACACGTATCATCACATCTGCTGTGACTGTCACCCAATCCTTGAGGAGTGGGATTGGAGGCCTGCTGCCCTGCTGAGCCCTGGCTCTTCTTCACCTGAAAAATGGGGACCACATTCCTGTCCAGCCTGTTTGCAGAACATTTCCCCAGCATTCCTTCCATTTAGCAAATTCTTCGGCAGCCTTCTCAAGGGTCCCAGAGGTCTGTCGAGGACAGAGGATTATCCCAGATAAAGGGTATAAGTCATTTGTCTAAGGTCACAAGCAAGCCAGGCGGTCAAGCCAGGCAGCAACCCAGTTCCCCACTCCTTCCCCTCTTCCCATCTCTCTGTGACTTGCTGTCATTTCTCCACGTTCTCTCATATGGGACGTGAAATGGGAGGACTGTCACCTCCCACGTTCTGAGTGTCCAGCTCCTCAGCATACAGTCCAAGAGGCCACTGCTCACTCAGAGCCAAGGTCACCTGGCTGCCAGTGATTGTCCCACGCGCACACATGCAGCTGAGCTTCATTCTGCTGGGACAGTGTCTGGACCTGCACATTGAGTCTGGCTTGGGAACTCGTTAAACTCCACGTATCAGAGCCAGCCTCCTGACAGCTTCTTGGACCCTGGCTGTCTCAGCCCACCTGTTCCCACTCCCTCCTAACCCAGAGTCATGCGCACATTTTGTCAACAAAGCGAAAGAACCAAGACCAAGTCCTTCAGCTCACCATTAGAGATTCCCATACCACAGAGGAACCCATCAACTGGCACAGCCATGAAACCTGGTTGCTCAAAAGAATGTTCAGGCTTCTGAGCTGGCTCCCAGTGCCCTGCCCTGTCAAACCTTGTAGACTAGACTTCAGGTGGGGAGGGAGACAGGAACGTACCCCCAGAAAGACTGCTCCTGAATGGCCTCTCTACAGCTTCTCCTTTGGGGACCCCACTGTGCCACGTGACAGAGTGGCTTCTTACCTCAGATCGGGCAGACGTTTGGGGAGTGCAGTTGAGCTAGGAATCTGGGCTTGACTCAGTTGCCCTCTTTGTCTGTGGGCAGCAGAGGCTCAGGGCCTATGCACACAGGAGGCTGTGGGAGAAAGAGGAGATGAGCTGTCAGCCAAAGCAGGGAAGCAGGCAGCAATTCTAGGGAGCAGTGGGGACCATGCATACAACTGGTCTGACCCCACCTAGCTGGGCAATAAACACTCATACGTCTCAAACATGCTCCCTATTGCTGACACACACACACATGCTTTCGCACTCACACAAACTCACACATGCTCTCACTGTCCAACACTCATGCACACACTCATATGCCACCAGCTGGGACAGGTAAGGCTCTGGCAACGTTAAGTTTCTGGCCCCAGAGGCAGGGGGGGATCTGAATGTGCTTCCCCACACACTGGCTCTGTGACCATGGGAAAGCAAGTCTCTGAGCCTCACTTTCCTCATCGAGAAACTGGGAATACCGTTCCCCCTGCCAGGGCTGCTAGGAAAATAAAAAGAGAGCAGAGATTGTGGCCTGGCACAGAGCAGGTGTCCAGCCACCACTGGGCCTGCCTCCCTTCCCTGCCCTGCCCCAGGAGGCAGGCCCAGGGGCTGCCCCTTGACAGGGAGCAGGCAGAGCACCAGGGGTGTCTATTGGGTGCCTCAGCCTCAGCCTCCCAGTTCCTACATGCCCACCCCTCCCTTTCCCAGCCTCTTCCAGTTTATGGTACTTCCCCTCACCATACATTCTCCAATAGTAACTTGGGACCACACCCACCCTGCCTCCGTGAGTGGGGAGGAGAGCATGGAGTCCTGTCTCCTTGGCAAGACCCCGGGCCGAACGGCCTCAGGCATCAGGCTGAAAGTCCCCCACTAGCTAGCTGTGCAGCCCTGAGCAAAACTTCCCCATCTGAGTTTCAGTTTCCTCAGCCTCCCAGACAAAGACCCAAACCCCCTTCTGAGTTGTTGCCAAGAGGTTCTGATCCAGTCAGTGTTTCTCAAAGGGTGAGACATAGCACGTGCCAATGGGGGTGTGCAAGGGGATTCTACAATAGGTGGTACACAAACTTTTTTAGTACCATAGGTATGTGTTTATTTTTGTGTGTAGTAAAAACCTGACAAGCGCATCACAGCTGTGATTTCATGGATATATGGCTTGGGGGGTGCCTGGTAATCCACCTTCAAACGTGAGTCACTGCACAAGGATTAAGCAGATATGAGTGCAGGTGGCGCCCAGAGGTGGCTACAGCCTTGGTGGTAAAAAGGAACCACAGAAGGTTGGCATCTAACCCAGGCCTGGCTCTCAATTCTAGGGAGAGCCCTCACAAGAATGTACAGTTTGCTCTCTCCCTGGAAGGCCAGGCCAGCCTGTCCTTTCCCTCTTCATTCCGCACATGGCACATCCAGCACAGGCCTAGGTCCCCAGGGTGTCTCACAAGTCCTTTCAGGTGGGATCGATGGGGCTCAGGGACAGTTGCCATAATGTGAGCAGAAGATGGCAAAGGCCTCTGACTCCCTCCCAAAACCAACATTCTTCAAGTCTAAGGTACAAATCATGGAATTTCTAGGCACATGGAAGGTGAGGATGGAGGGACTCTTTGGAGGCAAGGATCTCCTTGTTTCATGAGCGGCAATCTTCTCCTCCAAGAAGGAGGCAAAGACCTGGGCGCTGAGCACATTCTAGGGTCTACCTTGGCCTTCCTGTCCTGACAACAGAGCAACAGTGTAGATCAGTATGGGAGGGCCTGCCTACCTAGCCCTGTTCACCAGCCACCAGCTATTCCCCCTGCTCTCCCCAGGGTGCCTCGTAATGGCTGTTGATCCTGGAGGACAGGACAGGACTTAATGGTATCGACCTAAGACAGAGGGGTAACCAGAGCCTGGGCAGTTCCTCAGGCCTGGGTCCTCCAGGCCAGGCCTAGCTAGGCAGTGTCATCGGTGATAGGCCTTAAGCTGGCTCTCAGTAGACAGGCACAAGTAGACAGGTCCACGCCAACCAGCAGCCCTATCATGGCAGGCCTTCCGACCCCCAGACTGCGGCCCTGAGCCTAGTTCCACCTGAGCTGGCAGGGCCAGCCATCCCCACAGCACCACACCAAGCCACCAGCTGCCACGTGGCAAGATAATGAATGGGTTTCCCACTCCCTTCTCCCCAGACTTTCCTGAAGCTCTTACTCTCCTGAACAGCATCACAAGGAGTCGCTATGGAAATGGGAACACAGGCAGAGCATAACAATAATTTGGGGCAAGGGAGGAGACACAAATAGAGCCAGGAGCTCTCCTGGACATGAGGCCTTCCTGTGTGCCAAGTCCAGAAAGAACATGAAGTCCCAGCTGCAGGCCTCAGAGCCAAGGGGCCTCAGAGCCATGGAGAAAACCATGGCAGAGGTGACGGCTTCCAACCTGCCCTCCTGGCTCCTTTCCCCTCAGGGGAGTGCAGAGAGGTCTGGAATCAGATGCTTGTGTGTTCAACAGAATGACCACATGCCCTGGGGTGCGTGGGACTTCTAGGAACACAGCTACCACAGGATACTGTCAAAGCGGGTTCATACTGTGGGGGGCTGGCACCCAGTAGGTGCTCAGTGAACATTGTGATCAAAGAGGATGGTACTGGCATGTGGAGGAAGAGGGCATGTGCCTACTCTGGTCAACAGAGTCACAGAATCACAGAGCTTGAGAGGCCCACACCCATTGTACAGATGGGGAAACTAAGGCCCAATAAGGGCTGGGGACACCCCATAGGTTAACTAAAAAGTCAAGCCCAGAAGCCAGGTCTTCTCTTCCTTAGACCTGAACCCTTGACCCAGCACTCCCAGCTATTCATTCATTCATTCATTCATTCATTCTATTTTGTACTTGATGATTGGGATAAAGAGATGTGAAGGGCATTGCTCCTGCCTGCCAAAAGCTCAGAGAAAGGACAGATCATCATGGTCAGAGGGAGGGACCTGGGACAGAAGTCCAGGGGGCTTCAGGAGCCCAGGGAAGTTTACCTCAAAGATTGTAGCTACGTGCCCTGGCTGGTGTGGCTCAGTGGACTGGGTGCCAGCCTGTGAACCAAAGGGTCACGGGTTCAATTCCCAGTCAGGGCACATGTCTGGGTTGCAAGCCAGGTCCCCGGCAAGGGACGTGTGAGAAGCAACCACACAGTGATGTTTCTCTCCCTCTCATTCTACCTCCCTTCCCCTCCCTCTAAAAATAAATGAATTAAAATCTTTAAAAAAAAAAAAAAGATTGTAGTTATATGTTCTGAGCCATGCTTCAAAGACACCTCCGGGTTTCCCTGGCTTGTCTCCCAACTGCTGTCTCAGCCCCAACATGGAGGTCTCACCTCCAGGAGGTAACAGGGGTATTTCCCCATTAGCACCCCCAGGCCCTAGAAATGAGGAACCATGAGGAAAGTGCCCTTGACTACCCTTCCCTTTCCCACCTTCCCACATTCAGCATCTTCCTGCATTGTTCATTCTTTCCTCCTGAGCGTCAGGCATTGTCCTTGGCCTGGGGCAGGACAGAGAACTATGGAGCCCTAGTCATCAATCTTCACCCTATGGAACTCAAGTCCCCATCTCTTTTCCAGAAGCTTGCAAATTCTCTCCTGTGGTTGTTTTCTGGTTTGTTTGTTTGTTTGTTTGTTTGTTTTTTGGGGGGGGTGTTGGCAGGCAGGAGGGCTAGTTCTGAGAGGGGAAAAGAGGACACCTCCCAAAGCTCTGCTTGGAAGACCTACCAGCTCTGCTGTATCCCATGTGGGCCGTGGCTCCCAGCAGCTGGTATAGACTCTCAGGACCTATTTAGCATAGGTGGAAACAAAGACTCAGAGGTAGCCCAGTGGACCTCAGGTTGCTCAGTGCTGAGAAAGTAAGGGGTGGGGCAGGAGTGGGGGGAAGTGTACAGCAGTGAGGATCGAAGGGAGGGGCCAGGTCCAGGGCTGTGGAAGTGGAAGAAGGCACTGTTTCCTCTATGAGGAAGGCACTGTCTTCCTCTACAAGGAAGGCGCTTCCTCGTACAGGAGGAATTTGGATTGGCTCAGAGCCTGCTTTCAGACTCCTGCAGGAAATAAGTTTCTCTGCCCTGGCAGCCCACAAAGGGTAGTGCGGTAGGTAGAAGGTGAAAGGACGACGCTCCTTGAAAACTGCCATCCCACCCCAACCCAGCAAGGCTGGGAGTATGCGGGGGGAGGCCAGGCAGGGGGTTGGGGAGCAGAGTCAGTGCTGCAGATGCCAGGAAGAGCCTCCAAACCTCCTGCAGAGGCTTTTCAGCAATAAAATTCTTATTTGAAATGAAATTGTATATGGTGGGGGAAGCCTTTCTATGCCAGACATTAAATCCAGAAGTCGTAAAGTGAGAATCCGATAAATCTGACTACATGAACACCTATAACATTTGCACAGCAACAGACACTATAAGCGAAGTTAAAGGGCAAGTAAGACATTGAAAGAAAATATCACTAACATACAAAGAGCCCCTACAAATCAATAAGAAAAAAGAAAAGAAAGAAAAGAATGGCAGGGAACTAGAAACCTGCAGAAGAAGAACTAAACTGGCCAATAAGTATATGAAAAGATGTTCTACCTCACTAGCAACCAGGGAAAGGCAATTGAAAAAAATACAATACCATTTTTTTGCCCATTAGATTGAGAAAAATTAAACTGATTGATAACAACCAGTGCTGGCAAGGATGTGGGGAAATGAGAACTCAGACCACTGGAGGGCGGGGAAATTGGCTAAGCCTTTGGAAGGGTAACTGGGCAGTACTGAATAACATTTTAAACCCACACAGCCTACACCTAGTAATCCCACTTCCAGGAGCTTCTCCTACAGAAATGGTAATGCAGGCACTCACATATAAATACTCAGGAATGCTCGCAGCAGCATTACTGGTAAGAGTACAAGAGAAATCAGAATGGCTTGCATGTTCGTCAGTAAAGGACTGTTCAAACAAAACCGAGTACATCCTCACTGTGGGACAGTCCGCAGCCACTGACAGAAGGAGGCACCACTATGTGCATTAGTATGGGAAAAAATGAGCCATACAATACTATTTCAGAATGAGCCCATCTTTATAAATAACAGTTTTTGGTATATGCCCCAAAAGGCACTGTC